GCTATTCAAACAACCTGTATATCAAACGGATACTCTATCATACGTATGTTTGCTGAGTCTACCTGTGAGACCCCTATATATACTTTTGTATCGCTATTGCTAACTCAAACATCCTGTATATTACATTAAATTATTAGGTAGCGGGTAGTCTACTTGCAGGTCATTTAGTCACGTGTCGTCAATCCTTTGTTAACTGTCAAATGTCTTATGTAATACGTCAGCTGTCTAATCCCGCAAAAGTGGATGAGGCGTCCAGTATATTTTTTTCTTAAATTGCTATCCAACTCAAACGCCCTGTATATATCATGTTATAGCGGGTAGCCTTTATATGTAGGTGTAAAGGTCGTGTCAATTAAAGCAACGTGTGATGGAAACTGCTTTTATTTTATCAAACCTCGATCATCGTACATGCCAAAAAACAACAGAGTGAGAGGTCGGTGAAGAAAGATAGATTCCAATAGGTAGACAGCGTAGACAGGTAAACAATAGAGAATGATAATAGTACATGGGCTATAGTACCTACCTATGTGATTATACCTATCATGACATCCCCTTTCTTAAAAAAAATAGATATGTATCCCGAATCAATAATAATGAATACATTGTATTATAACATTTATACAATTAAACAAACTAAACTAATACATTAGCCTATCAGGTTGAATAACAGCTCTACCAGATTTTGTAGTGTATGTAGAAATTTTTGAATTACTTGGTTGTTGTAGTAATGGTCTATTCTCAACAGTAGGGAGCAAAACATCATTTTCTTCTGTACAATATAAATCAGAACTGACAATATTTTCGTTAATTCCTTTATGTGACTTATTTTTTGGAAATATGTCTTTTCGATTTCTGGAAATCACTCTACCACTACCATACATTTTAATATCATAAGATCGTGGTCTTTTATTTTTACGTAGTATCTTTCCAGGAAGGTTTTGATACTTTCCTTTAACATACACTATGTCATTACTTTTCAACTCTGACAATTTTCTTGCATGTTTGTTATAATAGTGTTTTTGGTTTGTTTGTTTTTGTCTTAAAATTTTTCTGAACTTATGATTTCTGATATGTAAGGGTTTCAAGTGACTTTCTGGTACTGGTAGAATGCTTTTCAGTGACCTATTATTCAACAGTTGTGTAGGTGAATATACATTTCCATACAGAGGAGTGTTTCTTAACTCTAATAATGCCATAAATGGATCAGTTCTTGAAATATTACATTTTTTTAAAATGTTTTGAACTGTCTGAATGGTTCGCTCCACTAACCCATTCGACCTTGAATGTTTTGGACTTGATGTAACATGTGAAAAGTCCCATTCATTTGCAAAACATTTGAAACTGAGAGAGCTCATTTGAGGTCCATTGTCGGATATTAGTAAATCAGGAATACCCTGTCTCGAAAATATACTTTTTAATTGGAATATTACATCATCAGATGTTATACTTTTCAGACGAACTACTTCCGGAAATTTCGAATAATAGTCAACAAGAACCAAATAATGTTTTTTATTTACTTCAAATAAATCAAGGCCTACTTTTTGCCACGCTCTACATGGAATTTCATGTTGGATAATTGGTTCCTTCGAATTTGCTTTTGAAAAACTCGCACAGGCATGACAGTCAGCTATATAATTATCAATATCGCGAGACATACCTGGCCAATACATAATCTCCCGCGCTCGAGATTTAGTTTTTTCTTTGCCTAAATGGCTTACATGTAATTTACATAAGATGTCTCTTCTAATTTTCTTAGGAATTATTAATCTATGATTTTTCAACAATATGCCGTTGCTGTAAGAAATTTCATCATTAAAAGAAAAATATACTTTCACACAATCTTTCAATTCATCTTTTTCTGCAGGCCATCCTTCTTTTGTTAATTTTATCAATTCTAACATTTCTTCGTCTTTATTTATCTCATTTTTTATTTCTTCTAATTTTTTATCTGATACTCTCATGTTGTCAGTAATTAAACATATTTGAGCATTCAAATGTTTATCTAAATCTTCAAAATTTATATCATCAAATTCATTATTTATTTCAACATCATGTGCTCTCGACAATGCATCAGGCAATGTCATTTGTGAGCCTGGCTTATATACTAAATTTATATCATATTTCTGTACTTGGATTAGCATACGCTGTAAACGTGGTGGTACCAAATTTAAAGGTTTTTTAAAAATATTCGAAAGTGGCTTGTGATCGCTTTCTACGATCACATTTTTTCTACCATAGACAAATTGATGAAATCGCTCGAGTCCAAACAAAACTGCAAGTGTTTCACATTCTATAGGTGCCCAATTTTTCTGTGCATCTGTGAGGGATTTTGAAGCATAATAAACTGGCAAATCATTTTGTAGAAGTACTGCCCCTACTGCTGACTTAGAAGCGTCAACAGATACTTTGACAGGTTTATTAATGTCATAAAACTGTAAAACTGGTCTAGAACATAAAATATTTTTTAATTTTTCAAAAGCTCGCTCATGGTGTTCTTCCCAGTGCCATGACACTTCTGCTTTCAAAAGGGTTCTCAAGTGTTCAGTTTTATCAGAAAGATTTGGTATAAACTTAGAAACATAAGTAATGATTCCTAAAAATCGTTCAACGTCCTTCTTATTTGAGGGTCTCTTGAATGATTTTATAGCTAGTACTTTATCGTAATCTGGTTCTATTCCTTCGCTAGATATCTTATGTCCTAGAAATATCAAACTGTTTATTCCAAATTTGCATTTATCCAAATTTAATTTCAAATTGACTTCTTTACACCTGTTCAATAAATTGATCAGTCTATGGTCGTGTTCTTCTCTGGTTCTCCCCCAAACCAAGAAATCATCAATATACGAATCAACACCCTGTATATTCTCGAATAAAAATCTTATTTTCTTATGAAAAATTTCTGATGCTAACGTAATTCCATATGGCAGTCTCAAAAATCTATATCTCCCATATGGAGTATTAAAAGTGCAAAGGAAGGAACTTTTTTCATTCAATTTTATTTGGTGAAATGCATCAGACGCATCCAATATTGAAAAGTATTTTGAACCATTCAATTTTCTCATTATATCATCTACAGTAGGTAAAGGAAAATGTTCTCTTTTTATCACTTTATTCAAATCTTTAGGGTCCATGCATATTCTCAAATCACCATTAGGTTTATTTACTATTACCAGAGAATTAACCCATTCCGTAGGCTGATCAACTTTTACTATTATTTCATTTCTTTCTAACATGTCTAATTTATTTTTCAACTTTCCTTCTATCGCTATCGGAACTTTTCTTGGGGCATGAATTACAGGACTCGCATTTTCATTTATTTCTATGTTATATTCGCCTTCTAGACATCCGATTCCCCGGAAAACATCTTTATATTTTTCTAGAATCTGTTCATAACCCTGATGTGCTTTTTTGATAAATTTCTGAGTTTCCAACACTTCTACTAATTTAATTAGATTTAGATTTTCACAATCTCTCTTACCTAAAATGGGTTGAACATTAACTTCGTCTACTATATAGAAAGTTAAATATTTTGAATTATTTTTATATTTGCAATTCAGAACACATTTGCCTAAAATATTTATTTTGGTTCCCGTATAAGTCGTTAGATTTGCATTTTCATATATCAAATTGTTTTTTGAAATTCCCAATTTTTCTAAATGATTTGCTGGGATAATATTTACCTGCGCACCGGTATCCAATTTAAATTGTATATTTGTTCCGTTATGGACTTCAATTGATGCTCTCCAATCATCTGTGTTAATTGAATTTATACAATCAATGAAAAAATCATATTCATCATCATTAGTTTCATTTAAATTGACTTCATTTATAGATTTGCACATTTTAGAAAAATGATTTATTTTTTTACACTTCATACATTGTTTCCCATAAGCAGGACACTGATTTTTGCCATGTGACATTCCGCACCTATAACAATTGAATTTTGGCGGTCTCGCACTGAAACTTTCTGCTCGCGCACTAAAACTTTCTGCTCGCGCACTCTGGTTTCTCATTGGTTGACGGGTGTACGTGGTACTTCTTGAGTGTGATGAAGTATCTGCTTGAAAATTTGAATGTTTTTTCGGAGTGTATGTGCTTTTTTGTTGTTTCTTGACTCGGTGAACTGCTTTATCTTCCATTGTTTTCTGTGACATGGAACTAATTTTTTCCAATTGCTCTTTGGTCCTCTCAGCTATCCTGCAGGTTTCCACTGCTTTATTTAATGTTAAATTTCTCGTTCTGATTAATATATTCTGGAGATCTATTTCCGATTTGAGACCTAGTATCAATTTACTTGTGATCAGACTGTCCGTTAGTTCTCCAAATTCACAAGACGTACTTAAATCTCTAAGATCAGTGATGTAACTATCCATAGTTTCATCATCCTTTTTGTCCCTTGTAAGGAAAATGTGACGCTCATACGTAACATTTTTTTCTGGATTAAAATAATCTTCATACTTTCTTATGATGATATTGTAATCCATTTTACTTTCATTACTTTCATAAGTAAAATTATTATAAATTTTCAAAGCTCTGTCTCCGATACATGAAAGAAGTAATGATGATTTGTACTCAGGTGACTCACCCTCTGATCGCGTTGCTTGGATGTACAAACTAAACTTTTGTTTGAAAAATCTCCAATTGTCTGCAAGAGATCCTTCCCAAGACATAGCTTCAGGCTGCTGGATGGTTGTAGTGAAATGTTGGTGAACCACAGCTGGAGCCGGTTGTTGCCCAGGTGTCGGCATTTTGATTTATTCACTAGGTACTTCCTAGACTACTTCACTATACTATTCGGGCTTCTAACCGTTTTTTGATATTTTGTATACTTCAAATATCAATTTTAATGATTTCATAATTTTCATTAAACTTTTATAACTTTTCCGACTGCGCCATGTAAAGGTCGTGTCAATTAAAGCAACGTGTGATGGAAACTGCTTTTATTTTATCAAACCTCGATCATCGTACATGCCAAAAAACAACAGAGTGAGAGGTCGGTGAAGAAAGATAGATTCCAATAGGTAGACAGCGTAGACAGGTAAACAATAGAGAATGATAATAGTACATGGGCTATAGTACCTACCTATGTGATTATACCTATCATGACAGTAGGTAGTCTACTCTTCGGAGAGGTATAACGCCTTCTTGGGTTCACCCTATATTTTATTTCCCAACTATTACCCAACTCAAACACCCTGTATATGGCCGTTGTTAAGTGAAAAATGGAATGAAATGCGCGCCGTTATCTCTAGAACGGATCTATCGCAGTCCAGCCGATGATGACGACCCGTTCGCTGGGTCGCGAGTAGCTGTGATTGTCTAGCCAGGTCACGTGGTAGGTGGAGTGGAGGGGCTGGACTGGAGACCGGCGACCCCTACTAATATTCTCAGATATATTATGAACATGAAAAAACTGATAAATATGATGAGATACATAGAAAGTTTGTATATTTCCTAATCTTGTCAACAACTGTTGTTTTTTAGGTTATTTTTTTTTGCTTTTTTTGACAGGTTCACCTTTTCACTGAAACTTCCGGTTCTACCTGAAAAAACTACGCCATTTTTATATTATATTTGAGTATTTTATATTTTTGCGCACTCGAAAAGACTGGTATTTTCCGTTTTTTTAAAGTTATGTTCTCTCAGAAACCTGTCAAGAAAAAGTTGCCCAATACCTGAAAAATGGCTGTTTTGTTTCCGGTAGAACCGTAAAATTCAATGGGAAGGTAAACTCATAAAAGAAATCTTAAAAAACAACAAAACAAAGTAGTCCAAACCGCATGTCGATAACTTGAATAGTTTCGGAGATATGAGCATTCAAAATGGGTCAGGTACCTACTGAAAAATAAAAAATATATAACATATATTCCTTTCAGGAACATCAAAGTCGCCTCATTGGCATTGGAAATTGGATCTGAAATTCACGGTATATTGTACCGAATTTGTTAGCCTTTAGTTTCCAGTTGATTTAAAAAAGTACAAACTGAAAATATTTTCAGATGCATAACTACACAGCGAGGGCCATAATGATGAAACTGCTAATAGTAGTTCTGCTGAGCCTCATCAAGGAGTCAGCAGCAGTAGATCTACTGCCCTGCACCGAGAACGTCGATAGACAAATGTTGGCGAGAGCTAGGAATATTATCGAAAATCATACCCCCCCTGGCTACACTCTGGATGAACTTGTTCCACAAGTAACTTTGAGGAGAAATCCCCATAGATGGATTGCTTCGTTCACAAGAAATAATAACCACTATGAATATAGCTGCGCTTATTTTGTAGCCGTCAAAAAAGACTTCAAGCGATCATGCCCTCCAGGATCCAAAATAAGAACTGTTTCTCTCCAAGATCGTCCTGGTCAATGGTGTATCGTAGTGGAAATTGTAAACTGTTATTGCCAGAAAAATCCAAAACGACGCCGACGATGGGCAAGGGAACCGACGATGGGCAAGGGAACCATCGATGTGCACGGACATGAATGAAGTTGAGTAAAATTGTATAGACGTATGAGGAAGGCTCGTAATCTCATGTACAGTGTCTTTCAGAGAGTTGGGAAAAACTTTTGATACCTGATAATTTATTTTGAAATTCGACTTGGGCTTTAGGTTTTGCATTGGAAGATAAGAAAGATGGACTACTCGGTCGGGGTCACGTGACTTTTGACACATGTCAATAATTACATTTTTGCTTACAATTGCTACTGGTATGAATCCGATTTTTTTTTACATTTGTGAAATTGGAATAGCAACAACTTCTTTCGGTAAACTTTTCTAGAATTCAAACAAATACGCCAATTCAAAAGTTTTCCCAAATGATGCCAACTCTCTGAAAGACCCTGTATGCACAGGGTGTCTCAAATTCGATCCTCACTATTGGGATCTCGGAACTATAAGAGATACGGAAATGGTTAAATTGGGGCAAAGTTGCGCATTAACCTAACGAACAATATGCTGTTTAGGAAGTTTCGAGATTCTAAGTATGTCCGGAGATATCTGTGAAAGAACTGAGATCTAAAAAATTGATTTCATTTTTTCCTGATTTATTGTAGGACTTTGAAATAAACCGCACTCGTGCATTTTGTGTGGAAAATTTTGAAAAATTGAATTTATTCATTTCTGTCTTCATTTATTGCAGGATTTCAAATCTATTCGCACTTTGCATCGTATTTTTCCTCTATTACATGATAGTGCTTTCAGATTCACTATCCAACGTTTCGTCTCCAGGCGAACATCATCAACTTTATGCTTTTCAATGAGTCCCATATCGGATTTTTTATGTTTCGAATAGAACCTCTGTTCTTGTCTCTTCAATAGTGTATCACAAGTTGCCATTCTCTTCTGAAGAATCATATACAAACTGATCGAAAAAAATTAAGGATATTTTTCAACGCAACTACATAGATATTGATGGCTATACCACATTCTTTCATAGAGAATGTCTTCATAGCAAAAAGACAATATCCCCAACTTATGCAAACAACATAGATATAAATTAGTAGCTATACCACATTTCTTTTCTAGAAAAATGTCTTCCTAGCAAGAAGCAATATCATCAGTTTATACAAAAAATAAATTATATGATATGGATGAAGTAAATCAAAACAAGACAACGAGCAAGATAGTAGCAAGTCAAGAAAAGGAAGGGACAGTTGGTAAAATAGATGAAGGGGATCGAAACAAGTAGGCGAGACTGATAGTAACAAGTCACGAAATAGAAGAGAAGAACAGAAAAGTTAACAAGATACAAGATAGTAGCAAGTCGCGGAAAAGAAGAGACAGTTGATGATACGGGTGAAGGAAATCAAATTAGGCAGACAACTAACAAGAAAGTAGCAAGTCAAGAAAAGGAAGGGACAGATGATCAAATAGATGAAGGGGGTCAAAACAAGAAAGCGAGCCTGATGTTAACAAGTCAAGAAAAAAAAGAGACAGTTGATGATATGGGTGAAGAAAATCAAAATAAGCAGACAACTAACAAGATAGCAGCAAGTCAAGAAAAGGAAGGGACAGTTGATATGATAGATGAAGGAGTCAAAGAGGATCCAAATAAGAGAGTGAGCAAGATAGAAATAAGTCAGGAAGAAAAAACAATAAGCAAGGAATGTATTACCTTAGAAAAACTAAACAAAGACAATGAACAAACCATTAAAAAAAGTCGAACCTCAGAGATATCAGAGACAGAAATCTTGAAAGAGAAGGAAAAACAAGTCTGCAAAAAAATTCAGTATATTCCTTTAAAGGTGTCTTTCGACAATGTTCTGAAATTCAGATCACCTAACTTGTCTGAAATAAATTTTAGAAATGAAAAACGAGAAATTGCCCCAAAGGCCATGAATTCACAAGTCTGGCGAAATTTTCAAAAACAAAAAGAAGAAGGGAAGACACAAAAAGTAGAGAGTATTGGTCTAGATAGTAGTTATGTTTGTGCTCTACCTTGATCATGGTTCAGGGCTGGATCTTTACAAAATTTGAAAATGCCTCGAATAATTGAAACATTTGAGTTCAGGTATAGGGTTCCCTGTCAACAGAATTTTGTACTCAATACTGATATCGATGGAACGTAAGACAATAGATGTTATTATCCCACTTTTAGCAGAAAGAAGAATCAATAGGTATATAATTGTCTTGGGAAAGGTGTCAATATCGATTTCACTATGTTATGATCGCACCTTAGGGTGTATTTATAGTAACCGTATCCAAGGCGGAATATACAAATTATATATTAGTGAAAAATAAAAGGTGTACAGGCATTGCAAAGGAAAACTCAACGAAGATGCTACAGTTAGTAGACTGAGTAATTAAAATATCCTAAAACAAATCAATGATTCGCAATATTATTATAGAAAATCATGAGTCTATATCACTTACCAATGATGTTTTCACAGTTTCGTTGCAAAATTCGATGAATGTTAAAACACAATCAATCACACATTTTAAACCATCATCGTATGAAATAAACACACGTGTCTATGAAATGATCAAATGTAATAATATTGAAATGATCACTGATTCCCAACATATCATGATAACAGCAGTGTTGAATGACCTCTAGGTCAGCTAACAAGATATAGTATTATATAGGGTTATTTTATTCAGAATTGTGAATAAGAAGATTGATTAGTAACATTTGAACATATCTAAGTGTCGATCGAACAGCGAGAACCCGACTACTAGAGACTACATATTGATAGACAATGAGCGGAAGGAAGACAACTAAACGCGAACGTGGAGATATAACTGGAAGTAAACGTAGTGAAAATCGAAAAGAGGATAATGATAAACATGATGAAGCGCAGAAAAATACAGATGGAGAAGTTGGAAAAACTGAGAATAAAGAAATTCAGAAGTAATCAGTCAACGATAAAGTAGATGCAATTCAAAATGAAAAAGATAAAGGAAAAGATGAAGAAAACACAGAGGCAGTTAGTGGATATAAGAACGTATCGAGTGTGGATACTGGAGATGTCGTAAGGTCAAAAGATACGAAAGAGAACGTTTTACAAAATGATGATGATATAGCAGTGAGAGAAGAAGTAATTAAGGGGAAGCAACTCTTCTCCATCCAGGATTTGGTAGACGCATTGTCAATAGTAATTTCGACAGGACAATCGGTACGAGCTCAGGCAACTATGGATTTGACTGAAGTCGCTAACATGCATTTAGAGAAGCCCGAAGAAATAGAGATGTATCCAAATGAACTTGATTTCTTATTTGACCAGCATGGCGAATGGTGTTTAGCTTTGGGAAGGCAGCGACTGTACGCCATGAACAACGAAGACGTCAGTTCATACCCTGAATTCATAAAAAGATTGCATGGTATAATCGAAAGATTAACAAAGGAATTTTATCGTATAATCAGGATAAAGCGTAAAATTATTAGAGGAACAATTAATATAATGGATCCAGAATGCATAGGAATCTCTGCAAATGTAGATAGAATAATCAAGGACGATATGTCCAACATGATATTACATAATTTACAGAGGTTAGTACCAATTAGAGGGAATGGATATGATGTGATTCCTGTAGTGTTAAATCCGATACTACATGATTTTCAAAACGTAACGCAAGCGTACATTATGAGAGATGATATTGGTTTAAGAACTTGGATTGAACGTTTTTCGGTACGAGAGATTAGTTTTGAATTTTGGAGCAGGACCAATATATGGGAGGAATAACGTGCGATGGCTAGGGAACACGCACCCACGTAATTTGGGTAATTTCCTATCTATCCTACCTAAGGTGAATATGCTGTTGATATTATATGCTAGTTAGTTTATTTTTCCGACGTTTTCTCTAACTACCGTTGATATAGCGCAGGTTAGCCAAACGATGGAAATTAATTCTAACAAATCAGAGCCGTTGGCTAAAATAGTAAACAGTCCGGTTACATCGCTAAATTTCGATGATTTTAGGAAGATAATTATGGCTATGGTTTTACCACAACAAGTAATGGTGGATATAGAATATGACAATGGTGAAAATGTAATGCTATCAGGCGTCGCGGGATTAATGGCAAATATGTTCTTCTCGACGACGCCTGGATTTAGGACTATAACTTTGAGGAGCGCGCGTGAAACGGATGTAATAATTGGTCGCATGTTGAGTAAATTGGGGTATAAAAACGATAATCAGAATCAACCATTGAACGTCACCCCCCAGAGAGGTGGGCCGAATGTTTGGTTAGAGCTTGAAACGCATGATTTCGATGGTTTAGGATGGTGTAATTCGCGTACGAATGAGGTTTATGTAATTAATGATGCATTGTATGATGGAATAAATGAGTTACCAATATACGTTGGACTTGATCAGTACGTAGATATTCAGGATTTGGTTGACTTTAATGATGTGCCTAGACCGCCCATCTTAAACGATATCACAAGATGTTTAGCTGACGCGGCACGAACGAAGAATAGAGCAGATGCAGTTCAGTCTCTCTTTTCGTATGTCGCGCCAAAATGGTCGCAGTTCTTCTTTAATTTGAATAGATTTATTGTAACATATGGCGAGACTGGTTTTAGGGAAATTCCTATCAATTGTGTGTACCGTTTGAAGCACCTCGCCAGAGAAAATGGATTTAATAGTGGAAGTATAAGTTATTCAAAAATAAATTCTGGATGATATTGTGGTGTGCACGTGTATTATGCCATATGACTTTTTGTTTCGAAAATAAGTGTTTGTTTTATAAAGAAATTGGGGAAATCACAATGTATGTGCAATAATTTGCCATTTTCTATGGTGAGTTTTTATTACATCTAGATAAAAACTGTACCGTGATCCGGACAATTGAAGACAAGTTATCTTGCTACCACGCGAATACAAGGACAAATGAACAGGTCCGGCTTCGATAATTTTTAAACATGTCTTGCTCCAAATGTAAACAACTTGACTCTAAAGAAGAACCTCTAGTAACCTGTGACAAATGTAAGGGTAAGCTCTGCCAAGGCTGTGCAAAACTTAGTACTACTGAACACAGAGCGGCTAGTTTGAAATCTGGTAGACTGCTTGTGTACCACTGTTCTAGTTGCAAGTCATCTGCTAATATTGGAGATGGGAGATTGAAAGAGATTCAAAATGATCTACAAAATGTCAATAAGAAAATTTATGAGCTTTCGAAAATTATGATATCATCAGATTTATTTTCATGGAATTATATGTGACATCACTTGTTTACTATGAGTGGTGATGCATCAGCTTTTGATGATGACAAATACATTATTTCATTTTGCATTTCATTATAACACAGGCAATCAAACAATTTCGGATGACCAAAGACCTAAAACATTTTTAAAATTGTAGGAATTTTTGAATTCACATGTTCTATATTCTATACAATCTTTTTTGCACTTGAAACAATGAATATGTGCAAATTCATGAATGTTTATTATTACAGAACAATGATGCTGAATATTTTTTCATTTTCGAAACCAAATCTGTACGAGAATAACAAGACGGGCACAAGATGAAATGTTTTCCATTAACTGGATTGAACAAATGATAATACTTATTACAGCTCGCATATTCGGTATTACACATATTCACGTTGCTAAAATTATCCAACGGATAATTCCTTTCAGGAATCTCGTAGGGTTTATCAATCATATTATGTCTAGGTTTATGGTGAGAAATAATTATCTATTGATGTGAATGCATAACCCCCGATGCACCCTTTATCTTTTATATGTATATTCGACATTTCCTCTGTGTCTATTCTATTATAAATAGGCGAAAACTAAATTTATTATTCATTTTTCTGAATCGTTAATCAGCTTGATAATATTCAGTGATAGTGTCTACATTATTTTATCAATAATCGTAAGTACCCTTCTCTTTTCGATTACCTAGTAGTTCATGTCTGAATTTATACAAAGCATAATTATTCTAGAAAATGTCGTCTGATTCAGGATATGAATCTGACTATGAAGTTGATGCAGCAATTATTGCATGGGCGAATGAGAGGTTGAGGGAGTTTCAATAATCGTAAGTACCCTTCTTTTCTCGATTACCTAGTATTTCATGTCTGAATTTATACAAAGCATAATTATTCTAGACAATGTCGTCTGATTCAGGATATGAATCTAACTATGAAGTTGATGTAGCAATTATTGCATGGGCGAATGAGAGGTTGAGGGAGTTTCAATATAAGTAGGTACCCTTCTTTTTTCGATTACCTAGTATTTCATGTCTGAATTTATACAAAGCATAATTATTCTAGAAAATGTCGTCTGATTCAGGATATGAATCTGACTATGAAGTTGATGCAGCAATTATTGCATGGGCGAATGAGACGTTGAGGGAGTTTCAATAATCGTAAGTACCCTTCTCTTTTCGATTACCTAGTATCTCATGTCTGAATTTTTACAAAGCATAATTATTCTAGAAAATGTCGTCCGCAGGATATGAATCTGACTATGAAGTTGATGTAGCAATTATTGCATGGGCGAATGAGAGGTTGAGGGAGTTTCAATATAAGTAGGTACCCTTCTTTTTTCGATTACCTAGTATTTCATGTCTGAATTTATACAAAGCATAATTATTCTAGAAAATGTCGTCTGATTCAGGATATGAATCTGACTATGAAGTTGATGCAGCAATTATTGCATGGGCGAATGAGACGTTGAGGGAGTTTCAATAATCGTAAGTACCCTTCTCTTTTCGATTACCTAGTATCTCATGTCTGAATTTTTACAAAGCATAATTATTCTAGAAAATGTCGTCCGCAGGATATGAATCTGACTATGAAGTTGATGCAGCAATTATTGCATGGGCGTATGAGAGGTTGAGGGAGTTTCAATAATCGTAAGTACCCTTCTTTTCTCGATTACCTAGTATTTCATGTCTGAATTTATACAAAGCATAATTATTTTGAAAAATGTCGTCTGATTCAGGATATGAATCTGACTATGAAAATGATGCAGCAATTATTGCATGGGCAAATGAGAGGTTGAGGGAGTTTCAATAATCGTAAGTACCCTTCTTTTCTCGATTACCTAGTATTTCATGTCTGAATTTATACAAAGCATAATTATTCTAGAAAATGTCGTCTGATTCAGGATATGAATCTGACTATGAAGTTGATGCAGCAATTATTGCATGGGCGAATGAGAGGTTGAGGGAGTTTCAATAATCGTAAGTACCCTTCTTTTTTCGATTACCTAGTATTTCATGTCTGAATTTATAAAAAGCATAATTATTCTAGAAAATATCGTCTGATTCAGGATATGAATCTGACTATGAAGTTGATGCAGCAATTATTGCATGGGCGAATGAGAGGTTGAGGGAGTTTCAATAATCGTGAATACCCTTCTTTTCTCGATAACGCCTAGTGTCGTAGTGTTGTGAAAAGTGTGTGAAAATTGAGGATATTTGCTTCAAGATTGATTCCGCAGGTATTTATATCTATTTTTTTGGCGTAGCAATTTATAATTTTTCTATATATAGAAATTCGAGATTGGGTAGCTCTTATCACCTCCCTCCCTCCACCTACATGTTTCCTTTTTTCAATCAAACGATGCAGGTTCTATTGATATATAGAGAATTCTCAGACCTGTTTCATGTCTATGAGGAATCTTACTCATCGAGTAGTTGACAGCTATATGTATTTTCTGTGTGAACGCTGCCATGTTTATTTTTCTGTATAATCGCTGATCCCTAAGACCCCTAACCTCTAGCACCCTTTACATTACGAGTTTTGGTAGTGAAATTTTGACAAATTCCGCGAGCACTTCTCTAGGGTGGAGCACCGATCTTTTTTTCGTGTTTTGTTTTCGTGAGTTGTTCGACATATTTGTCTGATATATTCTAGGCATGCCTATAGTAGATAGTTTTTGCAGCGAGCTTTTCTGTATATTTTCTCATTATCGTAGTGTATATTGATCGGAATCAACAGTCAGCTCGTCGTCTATCATACATTGCCTGTCTAATATGAGTAGTACAGCTATGCCGGTTGACGCGCTGAGCCGCTGCAAAAGCTTACCAGATAGCGCAGTGTCGCTAGTGTCGCTGCTACAGAAATGCCAAGTTTCTTGAGAAGATGGTGGTCCAGTCCAGTCGGTAGTTCAATCGAGACGATTATAATGAACGAAGCATGGCAGCTTGATTAGTAGGTTAAAGTTGCAGCGATATTCATTGGGAAGTTTGTGCCACACCCTTAATAACCCACAAGGATCTGCATATTCAATGAAACATTCTACGGAAATGTACTGCAATTCTTGTTCTGTGAATTTCGTCAGAGTCAAAGCGAGAGATTTTAGGAACTCCAAGAGCACAGCTACTTCAGACTTCATTTTTTTCAATTCGAGCAAAGTTAAAAAAATTTAGATGCTTCTAGTTTTACGTCAATTGGTAGACTGATGAAATAAATATTATACTTTCTGTGCTCTAGACCTCACCGACAGCCAAGCGCTCTTTGTTATAAAAATACGAGAAAATAGGGAACGGATTGTCCGAAGAATCGGATTTTAAAAACAAACGGATAGGTATAAATCTTTGAACATCAGTGGTTGGGGCGCTATTTCAACTAAGCTTTCATTAATGATGGGAGCTTCGTATGAATATGATTGTCCTGAAACGTTGAAAAGATATTGCTGCAGAAAAAAGTGTTTCATCATATCTGATCACAATGACGTAGTTGATGAAATGGCATGCAGAAAATGCAGACATTTCAGTTACTGCGTCTGCGCATGTGAATCGAGATGCAAAAATGGAATAGTTGAATGTTTTGTGACAGTTTTCAGATGTCTGCGACAGAGTTCAAACGTCAGTTGAAGGAATTCCAGAAGAAAATAAAAGAACTTGACGTAGCAATAAAACAGTTCGGAAATAAACAGCTGATGATTCGAAATTTCTCGAAAATTACTCTATTGGAAGACGTTATTAGTACTAGAAGTATACCTTCATCAACTGCAACGACAAAAATATGGCTATTTTGAGAGCATCATTTGTATTGCTGTTTTCAATGATGGGAGACATTCTGTATATGAATCTACCGAGCAAGGTTAGCGAAGCAGGAATTTGTTCCAATAATGAGCCAAGTCATTGGATTTCTATGCGAAAAGAATTCATCAATAACAAGCAAATGGAAGTGCTCTCAATGCAAGTACCAGAGAACGAGACGAAATATAAAATCAGTTGATTTTCAACGATAGGACCTTTGGCGACTCATATCAATGGCAGTTTTTTGGATTCTCATTACCAATACCAACATTAGCACCACCAACGGACTATGGAAAATTCTTTGCTATGTTGAATATTTTCTCATTTATTAACTTAGCATTTCTAGTTGGAATAATATTAATTAAAATTATACAGATTTTCTGTACGAAATGAATAGAAACATGTTCAATCTTGTTTTTGTATTGTTGATTCATAAAATCTACTGTTTATTTCGTTCGCAAGATTGTGCAAGAATTTTAATGGGTTATCTGACATGAGAAAATATTATCAGTCTACGCATCGCAGTTATATTCCCATGAAGACGCCATATGTTTACGATCTCAATGCCCTTGCTATCTAATTATAATACAGCGGGGAATTTTTTTCCAACAGTTCAGATAACCTTGATAGCTTCCAGCACATGTGGCAAGATGTTTATTATTCCGTTTGGCCATTAGCGACGATATTTCGAGATTCCTAATCAGTTTTAATATGCGCATTTATATTCCACTTGATAACATACTACATATCCGCTCTCTACGACGATAAAAAAAGAAACTGCGAGGCGCGCAGCATTCTTATTAACATGCCAATGCTGCATGTACACTCTCTATCTATACCCACGCTCTCTGATTATAAAACTGTCTGACGCGCAGCAACAGCATTCAGTTCATCAGTGAGCGCAGTCAGCCAAGTCAGCCAACATAACAGAATATAAATGA